TTTTTTTTCCCCTCCTCCCAGGTTTGCGGACAGAGCAGCTTGACTGCCTCAGCGCCGGTTTACAGGCTGGTTTTTGAGGGGGAAGGAGTTTAAGCAGAGGACAAGGTCTTTTCCCAAGTTTTTAAGAGCTGTACTTTATATCGCGAAGGGGTAGTTCATTGTTTTCTCCACCGGGAAATAGATGCCTTATAGGGAAAAGTTACTACATGTTGCACACTGCTTGCTCTTACGATAGAGAAGGAAACTCTGAAGTTCCAATCAAAAACTTACCAAACAACTTTCCATATTTCTTCTGTAATGTAAAGTAAAAGTAGCAACGATTAAACTCCAAATGTCCACACTGTCAACATTCTCCGTTGAATCCAGTTTGCAGAGAGCTCGGGCAGTTGCACCGAGCGTTTGTTAAACGCACGGTCAGCGCCAGGGGAAGAGCCCTGAATGTTTTAACATCTTGTTTAAAGTAATCTGTGCGCGAAGATGCCGCATCACCCCGGCCAGGCGAGGGACGGGGAAAATCATCCAGTCAGCTTTCTTCGATATTCGAAATGACGAAAGACTCGAGATGAAATGACCTCAGAAAACTCCGCCTTTGGAAAGCCGCGCTTGCCGCCTCTCCCTTGCCCCCCGCCGTTCCCCCTCAATTCTCACTTTTTGTTTATCGACACGTCGTTGCCACCAGCAGGAGAACTGAAAAGACAAAACTTAGCTCCAAACGCCTTGGTTTTCCGGTTGGGCTTTTACCGGGTTTGCCCACCGCTTCGAGCGCTGCTTTTGGTATCATTGTCATTATTACTGATATATTTTTATAAACTTTTAGGGTTTTATTGGCCAAGTACGGCAACTTACTGTATTTAATAATAGGACAGAAAAATCTAATTTCCTTTTTTTAAAAAGAAAATCTCACAGCAGTGATAGACACTTGATTCGATGCTCTTTAGTAAAAACTTGCAGCAACTGTGAGTTTCTTGCAACAGTGGTAGTTCAGCGTCTCCTCTTAAGAAACCAGCGAAATTTGGAGGCAGAGGCTGAAAGCAGCTCCCCGTGCCCCTGAGCAGGGAGGGGGGCAGGAAAATGCCTCCTGCGTTTTTGGGTGTCAGGAAAGAGTGGTTTCTCGGTTTGGTGGTGGCACCTCCCCAAGCCCCGTTTCCCAGCGGATTCCCAGTTTGCAGCTGGACACGGGGTTACGTCCCTACTGCCTCACCGTGGGGACGAGCCGCTGTCGCTCAGCCACCTCCGGCTCTGCGCTCGGCGGGTGCTGCCAACCACCCCCAAACAAAGTCAACGCCTTCGCCTGCCTGATCTTTATTTTTTCAAAGAACCCCCAAAATTCCCCCGTGGTGTCATGGAAAGAGAGAGCTCTTCTTGCTCATAAGCCCCAAATGTCAAAGGCAAAGGAGAGAAGATATTTGCCCTTAAGGGAGGAAAAAATGAAAAAAGACCCAAACCGAAAAAATCAAAAATCCAAGCCCAACAATAAAAGCCCCAGGTGTAGCTGGGGAGGAGAGAGAAGTGAGGGAAGAGGCAGTGAGAAGGGGGGGCTTCAGCTGTGCCGGGGCTGACACGGTGCGTCTGCACTTCCAGCGAAGCAGGAGCGACTCCGGCATCCCGCTTTCCTCCTCGGCAGTTTCCTTGGGCATTCTGCGGGAGCACCGAGGTTTCCCCCGGGCTGCACTCCCCGGGCTCTGCGAGGCACCCCAGGACCCCGTGCCCTCCCCTTGCCCCTCGCTCAAACGCCTCCGGAGGGCTTGGGCAGCCCCGCAGCGGGACCAGGGCGGGCGGCGGAGCCCCCTCCTCTCCCCAGATCGCTCTCCGTAAGGTTAAGCCCCCAGAATGGGCTGGAAAGGCGAGATTTTGGGAAACCTGTGGAGAGAATGGACGTGATCTGCATGTTGAAGCGAAGCTGAAGGATCAGTAAGCCGCAGTTAACACCGGTCACTTCTACCGAGATTTTTGGGGCACTTAAAATTTTTTTTTTGTCTGATCTTTTTTTTTTTGGTTTTTTGGGTGTGTCTAGACCGCGTAATTTCTTAATAATTTTTCAGACACCGTTGTCGATGTCCAGCGTGTGTGACCAGGTTGTTAAAGACTAGGCGATTTTTGTTCATACAAACTGGATCTCTGCAAGGTTTAATTTAACCCCGTGCGGCTCATCACGTTTCTTTTACCGAAAAAAGTACCTTTCTGGAGAGCCCGCCGTCAGCTCGGTACTGCTCTCCATTGCGGGACCGAGAAGGTACGATGCAATGTATGCAAAGTGACTGTAGCCTTTCAGGATGTTACTGAGGTTAAATCAAAGTCCCGGGACGGTAAGAGCAAAAACCTGGTAGCCGTCCAAGAACAAAATCGTTGTTTTCAATTGAGTCGAGTTTTGGTGTGGGTGGTTTGTTTTTGTTTTTGTTTTTCTTTTCTCCCCTTCTTTCTTCTTTTTCTTTCCTAGTGTAGTGGAAAGTGTCTTTGTTCTTTGTAAATTAGTGGGGTCTTTAACACGTTCTCGTCACGATTGGGACGATATATACCACAAAAAATGACAGCGCTTAGCAAAAGAAATGCAGTAACCTGGGTTTGGGTGACCAGTGTCCCAGCGAGCACTTGCCTTTTCCAATTTTTTTTTCTTTTATTTTCCTTTTTATTTATTTATTTATTTTTAAAACTTCCGTGATTTCAGAACTGTGGCCAGGAGCAGGGGGTGTAATTTCATAAATGTCCCCCATGGCAGCCCAGCCGCCTCTGGCCGCAGAGGGACTGCCGGGCACCGGGACCACGGGCATGGGGACATCACTTCTTCCTTCCGCAAGCGTTACGTTTCTCGCTCCTTTTCGTTCCCCATTACAAAGATTTCTCTGATGATAACAAGATATCTGTGTGACGGCTCGCTTTCGTGCCAGGCTCAACATCTTGCTCATCCCCTCGATGCCAGCTTTCTCAGCGTCCCGTTTTCGAATACCCTTTTCCGTAGAGATGTCCCCAAGCTTATATTTTGTGTGTCCCCCGTCCCTCTCCTCCCCAGTGGCAGTGAGGCGGGGTTTCATCTCTCGTCAAACTTTGCACAGACTTGGGTGTAAATTCAGGATTATGTGATTTAAAATCTCGTCGTAAAAATACCAAATGCAAATACTCGGCACCTTGGGTGTCTGGTGGTATTTTATTTCTCCTGACACATCAGGAGTTATTTAACATGTAGAGAAAAGCAAGGGATCACATCTTTTTAGCAGAAAGCTATACGGTGCAATTAAGGAAAGAAGTTCAGAGTCGGGAAAAGCTGGAATGCCGTTATTAAAAAAAAAAAAAAAAAATCAAAAAAGCAGCAGCAACTGTTTAGGGTTTCCCCCCCATCAAAATGTGACCTTTTGGAGTTGAGTTAGCTGCTGCTTCTGAGTTATTTACTCGTTCGGGGAAGACGCCGAGCTGCTGAGGGACACGATTGTGGTCCCGGGGCAGTTCCCAGTGAGGCGGTGGTGGAGCCAGGGGCCGAGGGGTCCTGGCACTGCAGCCGTCCTTACCGTCACCTCCTGGTCAGGCGAAGCGAGGCGAAGAGCAGCTGCCAGCCTGCTGCAGATCTGATCCCCAGGCTGGTTTTGGCTTCTGGGGAAAAGAGTGGCTGCTATAAAATGTTCAAATTGCTCGGGTGGAAACTTTCCGGTGTGTTGGAAATGTGTAAAAACAGAAACGACAATGACACTGCTTCGAAACGTAACTTCTGACTCTCCGAAAAGCCTTCAGGACCTGCTAGTGAACGACAGTCATTTCTATACCGCTCCGCTGAAACTGAAACGTGTGTGCTTGGGGAGTTTTAGACTTTCCTTTTCCATCACCTCTGGAGAGTGGAGGAGTCCTTTATCACCGCCTGCCCTGCCATCCATGCTACGGGACGCCTTGTCCATTTCCCGCGGTTTCCCAGAGGGGCAGCGGGGTCTCCTTGCAGCCGGGGTTCATTTTCCCCGCTCCCCCCTTGGCCCCTTTGGCTGGCCTGCGCAGGACAGAGGGATGGCAGCACCGCCACCGCCACCCGCTGCCACCTGCCCTGCGCGCCCCGGCCGGAGACAGTGGTTCTGCAGCTACTTCCAAATGATTAATGTTTTGTTGTTTCTCCTCTCCCCCCCGCCCTCCCTAAATATTTTTTTTGTTTTTTATGTTATTGTTTCTCTGCACCAGCCTCTTATCTTTTCTCGCAGACACTCGAGCCCGTGAAAGCAGTGGGCGTGCAGGCAGCTGCGGCAGCCCGGAGATCTCCCTTTTCTCCCGGTCTCCTCTGAACATCGCCGTTAACGCGCTGGCAGTGCTGGCGATCCGGCCCCAGCTGCTGCTGCTACTGCTGGTCAGTATTTACCACCACACAGTCTTTTATGTCCCGCGTTCAGCTTACTGTTTTTATTTCCGGGAAGAAAAAAAAAGAAAAAAATTAGGAAAAAAACCCCAGTATCTTCGGCCATTTTCTGCAAACTTGACACCCCGAGTTGCGGGTTTGTCCGTGCTCGGACTTTCCTGGGGAGCTGAAGTGTTGCTGAGCACAGCAACTGCAAACACCACAGCAAAGCAGTGTATGGTTCCCATTGGCAGAGCCCCGGGCTCATTTTCCCGTGCTTGTCTCTCTAACATTGCCCATGTGCTATCCCGGGGCACGATTAACACTTCCCGCGGCCCTGGAACTGTCACCGGGGGCTGCACTCGCTAAGTCCTTCCGTTTTGTGCCGCCTGGCTGGTGCACGGGGGACGAGCTTCTCCCTAGGGCATCCCGGGGGACAGGTGGGATGGGTACCCGCGGAGAAGCTGCGGCAGTGCCGGCACAGTTGCGGCACTATGTTGGGACAGTTCACGACAGTTCACTGGGAAAGTCTGGGACAGCGCTGGGACAGTCTGTGACTATGGTCGGATACAGTACTGGAACAGTTCTGGTACTGCTGGGACATCCTGGAACGGTGCTGGGACAAAGCTGGGTCAGACTGGAACTGCCCTGACACCGTTCGAGACAGTGCTGGAACATCTGGGACAGTACTGGTGCAGTCTGGAACTGCCTTGGGACGGTCCTGGCACAGACTGGACAGGGCTGGAACAGTTCGGACCGTGCTGGTACCTCCTGGGACGGTGCCGGGACAGCCGGAGC